TCTCTCGTAAATACCGACTAAAGTCACGCAAACGCAACAACAACGGTGGGCAAACGATCCGCCTTGTGCCTACTACTACTACTACTGCTACTACTACTACTACTGCTGCTACTACTACTACTACTACTAAAACCACGGTTTAGGGTTTAGGGTTTGGGGTGCTGTTATTGCTATGGTTAGTATTACGTTATTATTGATAATGTTCTTATTGCCAGCACTACTGTTGTGGCCATTGTTGGCAGGCACAGAGTAGACCCTAAACCCTAAACCCTAAACCCTAAACCCTAAACCCTAAACCCTAAACCCTAAACCCTAAACCCTAAACCCTCTCCACTTCGGAGGCTCCGGGTGTTGTATTTGGGGTCTCTCGTTCGCGAGAGTCTGCCTGAAGGGTTTAGAGTTTAGGGTTTAAGGTTTAGGGCTTCAAGGTTTAAGTGTTTTGGTTTAGGGTGTTAGGGTTTAGAGCTTAGGGTTTAGGGTTTACATAAGGTTTAGGGTTTAGGGTTTGGGTATTCCAAAGTGAAGAATTCCTCCATCTTCGCGGTCCCAGAATGCTCGATGCGCGGGCAGTGGGAAACTGCTCTTTGTCGGGGCGCCCTAAATCAGCTCATTGGAGAGAACCCTGGGCATATCGGCATGAACGAAGCATTCGCATCCTCTGCTAAACCCTAAACCCTAAACCCTATACCCGAAAGCCCTAAACCCTAAACCCTAAACCTATAAGCCCTAAGCATTAAAACCCTGACGGAGCGTGCCAGCCACGCCTCAAAAGGAGTTTCGTCGTGAGTCGAGTTCTGAGGCGCTGAAAGCAGGGCCGAGAGGCTTACGAGGTTTAGGGTTTACCCATAGGCCCCATAGTAGTACCCTATAGGATTCTATATATGAACCCCCAAAAAGGAACTACTTTAGGGAAGATGGGTAGTGCTTAGGGTTTACGAGGCTTAGGCTTTAGAGTTGACGAGGTTTAGGCTTTAGGGTCTACGAGGTGTAGGCCGGTGTCCAACCAGCAACCTTACGCCAGCGCATCGCGGCAACAACCGCAAGTGGCACTTTGCAAAGCGCGCTGATATGGGAGCTTCCGAAGATAGTCGGACCCATCATCTAGCACCCTAAATCGTAGTAGGATCCTTATTGTAAGGACCCCCCAAAAAAGGTACCCTGATGTTCGCACACCCCCATAAACCCTTAACCCTAAACCCTAAACGCCTAAACCCTAAGCCCTAAACCCTAAACCCTAAACCCCTAAATCCCCTATGGAGAGCCCATGCACCAAGGATTCTTCGAAGCTGAAGACCCAGCTCCGGTACCAGCAGGCAAACCAGGATTCGGTGTGAGGCTTCGGGATTAGCGCCTCCGTTTATGATTTAGGGCTTAGGGTTTTAGGGTTTTGGGGTTTAGGGTTTAGGGTTTAGGGTTTAGGGTTTTTTAGGGTTTAGGGGTTAGGGGTTTAGGGTTTAGGGTTTAGGGGATTATGTACGCTTGGGCTTAAGGCTTAAGTTTTGGGCATCAGGGTTGAGGATTTAGGGGGTTTAGGGTTCCCCCCCACCCCACTTTGATACTTCTGGTGCCTTCGCTGCGCTACCTCATGTCCGAAGCTGCAAAACTCTTCTGATAAAAGCCCAGGCCTCCAAAGAGGCTTGAATCTGAAACCCCACAACTGGGAGTTTCCGAAAATAGGGGACCCCAATATAGTACCCTAAATAGTAGGATCCTGATTATAAGGACCCCCAAAGAAGGTACCCCTTATTTTTGGAAACCCCACAACTCGTTTAGATTATTGGAGGTCCTCAAAGGAGTCGAAATTCGTCAGCACTCCCGCCAGAGTAGGCTGCGTCCAGACAAGTCAAGATTTTTGAGCGACCCCTCCCTAAACCATCAACCCGAAAGCCCCCGCGCCCCAGAAAAAACACCCTGAACCCTAAACCCCGCCAAATCGAAGCCCTAAAACCTACGGCCGAAACCTTGAACCTCAAACCCTAACCCC